ACTTCTCTTTGTGGAAGAGAGGATGATACTGCTTGAGGTAGAGTTAAATTGAATTATGAACATCAAGAAGAAAAGATGGAGCCAAAACCGGTTTGGCTCAGTGGATAGAGCGTCGGCCTGTGGACTAAAGGGTCCCAGGTTCGATTCGGTCAAGGGCATGTACCTGGGTTGCGGGCACATTCCCAGTAGGGGATGTGCAGGAGGCGGCTGATCGATGTTTCTCTCTCATCGATGTTTCTAACTCTCTATCTCTCTCCCTTCCTCTCTGTAAAAAATCAATAAAATATATTTTAAAAAAAAAAAGAAGAAAAGATGGAGTAGTGGCCTGCACTGACCACTAGGTGACTATATTAGACCACACAACTTAGTTGTCAGCTACAAGAAGGGTATGTGGGAAAAACAGCCTCAATAACTATGAAAGTCTAAGCAAGTCTTCCTTCCTTTTGAATCTTTTGGAATAGTTTGAGGAGGATAGGTGTTAGTTCTTTTTTTGAATGTTTGGTAACCAACTCACCTATGAAGCTGTCCAGTCCAGGACTTTTATTTGCTGGGAGTTTTATTACAGCTTCAGTTTTCTTACTTGTTATTGGCCTATTCTGGTTTTCTGATTCTTCCTGATTGAGTTTTGGAAGTTGTATGCTTCTAGGAATTTGTCCATTTCACCCAAGTTGTCCAGTTTGTTGGCATATAGTTATTCATAATATTTTCTTACAGTCGTTTGTATTTCTATGGTGTCAGTTGTTACTTCACTTCTTTCATTTCTGATTTTATTTATTTGGGTCCTCTCTCTTTGTTTCTTGATGAAGCCGGCATTATCCTAATTCCAAAACCAGATAAAGACACTACAAAGAAAGAGATCTACAAGATAATACCCCTGATGAACATATATGCTGAAATCCTCAACAAAACATTAGTAAATTGGATCCAGCAATACATTAAAAAAATCATACATAATGACCTAGTGGGATTTATTGGAGGGATGAAAAGCTGGTACAATATTTTCAAATCAATAAATGTGATACATCACATAAACAAAATGAAGGATAAAAATCACGTGTCATATCAATAGACATAGAAAAGGCATTCCAAAAAGCCAGCACCCATTTTTGATAAAAACTCTCAGCAAAGTAGGAACAGAAGGATCATACCTCAACATAATGAAGACCATATATAACAAATCTATAGCCAATATCATTCAGTGGGCAAAAAACTAAACACGTTTCCATTAAGAACAGGAATAAGATAGGAATGTACACTTTCACCACTCTTATTCAACACTAAAGGCCCGATGCACAAAATTCATGCAAGGGGCTCAGCCCTCGCAGCCGCAGTGGCTTGCCTTGGCCCTCACAGCCCCAGCTTCATCCGGAAGGTCATCTGGAAGGACGTCCAGAAGGTCGTTCAGCTGTCCAGTCTAGTTAGCATATTATGCTTTTATTATTATAGATAGTACTATAAGTCCTAGCCACAGCAATAAAACAAGAAGAAAAATTAAAAGGCATACAAATTGGAAAGGAGGAAGCAAAATTGCCATTATTTTCAGGGACATGATATTATACATAGAAAAACCTAAAGACTCCACAAAAAACTACTGGATTTAACAAATGAATTTGGAAAAGTAGTAGTATAAAAAAACCAACATTCAGAAATCGATGGCATTTTTATATACCAACTAGAGGCCCGGTGCATAAATTCATGCATGGGAGGGGTCCCTTGGCCTAGCCGGCAATCGGGGCTAGCTGGCTGGGGGGAGGGACCACGGGAGGTTGGCTGGCCATGGGAGGTTGGCTGTGGGAGCACACTGACCACCAGGGGGCAGCTCCTGCATTGAGCTTCTGCCCCCTGGTGGTCAGTGCATCATCACAGTGACTGGTTGACCGGTCGTTCGGTCAACTGGTCATAACAGTCGCTTAGGCTTTTATATATATAGATAATGAACTCAGAAAGAGAAACAAAAAAAGCAATCCCATTTACTATTGCAATAAAAGTAATAAGACACCTAGGAATAAAGTTAACCAAGGAGGTAAAGACTGCCTTCAAAAAAACTATAGGACATTGAGAAAAGAAATAGAGGAAGATACAAACAAGCACAAACATATGCCGTGTTCATGGATTGGAAGACTGAACATCCTTATAAAGTCCATACAACCCAAAGCAGTCTATAGATTCAACGCAATCCCTATTAAAAAACCAATATTAAATGGCATATTTCACAGATCTAGAACAAATATTCCAAAAATTTGTATGGAACCAAAAGGACCCCATATATCCACATCAATCTTGAGAAAGAAGAACAAAGTTGGAGAGATTACAATACCAGATATCAAACTGTACTACAAAGAAATTCTAATTAAAACAGCCTGGTATTGGCACAAGAACAGGCATATAGATCAATGGAACAGAACAGAGAACCCAGAAATAGACCCATGACATTACATTCAATTAATATTTGACAAAGGAGACAAGAACATACAATGGAGTGAAAACAGTTTCTTCAATAAATGGTGCTGGGGATATTGGACAGTTACATGCAAAAATATGAAACTAGACTACCAATTTATACCATACCCAAGAATAAATTCAAAATGGATAAAAGACTTAAATGTAAGGCATGAATCCATAAAAATCCTAAGAGAAACCATAGGCAGCAAAATCTCAGACATCTGTCATACCAGTATATTTGTGGATACATCTCCAAGGGCAAAGGAAACTAAAGAGAAAATAAACAATTGGGACTACATCAAAATAAAAGCTTCTGCACAGCAAAAGAAACCATCATCAAAATGAAAAGGAAACCCACTGTATGGGAGAACATATTTGCCAATGATGCATCTAATAAGGGGTTTAATTTCCCAAAATATATAAAGAACTCATACAGCCCTAACTGGTTTGGCTCAGTGGATAGAGCGTCAGCCTGCGGACTGAAGGGTCCCAGGTTCCATTCTGGTCAAGGGCATGTACCTTGGTTGCGGGCACATTCCCAGTGGGGGTGTGCAGGAGGCAGCTGATCGATGTGTCTCTCTCATCAATGTTTCTAACTCTCTATCCCGCTCCCTTTCTCTCTGTAAAAAATCAATAAAATATATATATATTAAAAAAAAGAACTCATACAACTTAACAAAAGGAAGACAATCCAATTAAAAAATGGGCAAAGGACTTAAATAGACATTTCTTCAAAGTGGACATACAGATGGCCAAGAGACATATCAAAAAATGCTCTGTCACTAATCATCAGAGAGGTGCAAATTAAAATGAGTTATCACCTCACACCTGCCATAATGGCTACCATCAACAAATCAACAAACAAGTGCTGGTGAGGATGGGAAGAAAAAGGAACCCTAGTTCACTGCTGGTGGGAATGCAGACCAGTGAAGCCACTATGGAGAACAACATGGAGTTTCCTCAAAAAATTTAAAAAAGGAACTTCGTTTGACCCAGTGATCTCACTTCTAGGAATATATCCTAAGAATCCTGAAACACCAATCAGAAAGAATATGTGCAGCCCTATTTTCATAGCAAAGTTATTTACAATAGCTAAGATCTGGAAGCCACCCAGGTACCCATCAGTAGATGAGTGGATTAAAAAGCTGTGGTACATTTACACAATGAAAGACTATGCAGCTGTAAAAAGAAGGGTCTGTTACCCTTTGAGACAGCATAGATAGTCCTGGAAAGTATTATGCTAAGTGAAATAAGCCAGTCCAAGAAAGACAAATATCACATAATCTCACTTATATGTGGAATCTAATGAGCAAAATAAACTGATGAACAAAATGGATCCAGAAGCATGGATACATCGAACAGACTGATGGATCTCTGAGGGGAGGGCAGTGGGGCGGACAGGAAGAGATTATCCAAAGAACTTATATACATACTAGAGGCTCGGTGCACAAATTTGTGCACCGTTGGGGTCCCTTGGCCTGGCCTGCAGGGATCTGGCCAAAACTGGCACTCCGACATCCCCCAGGGGGTCCCAGAGTGCAAGAGGGCACTCTGCAAAGTTGCTATCACTCAGCAGCTCCTGCATTGAGTGTCTGTCCCCTGGTGGTCAGTGCATGTCATAGCTACTGGCTGGTCAGCCGATCACTTAGGCTTTTTTACATATAGATATGCATAGCCCATGGGTGAAGGCTTGGATGGGGCAAGGTATGGAAGGGGAGAAAGAGGGAGATGAGGGACATCTGTAATATATGTACTGTTAACAATAAAAATATATATTAAGAAAAAATAATATATAGGGAAAGAGTCTGTCTGCACCGATTCATAAGATGCTTGTGAATTATGGGTTTATTTTTCAGAAAATGCCATGAAGTATAGCTAATGTTAAGAATGAACTTATAAAATATTCAAAATTTACCTATATCAGGGTTTCTCAACTTCAGCTCTGTTGACATTTTGGGCTAGATAATTCTTTGTTTTGGAGTCTCTCCTGTGCATTGTGGGATGTTTAGCAGCTTCCCTGGCCTCTACCCACTAGATGCCAGTAATGCCCCTTCACCAGTGGTGACAACCAAAAATGTCTCCAGACATTGCTAAGTGTTCCCTAGGGACTAAAATGGCCTCTGGTTGGGAACTACTGAATTATAGAAACAAACTAATAGTACTTAAAATGCAGGCAACCCTATTTCACATTAAAGAAAATATGCCATAAAAGAAATAATTGAATTATTTCACATTGAATAAAAAATTAATCCAAGTCCTGCTTTTAGCATTTTCTTGGTTAACATCTGAATGAACCATCACAGGGAATACCTGTGACAAGTTAATCCTTGTAGTGTGAAAGGTGGACATAACTTCAGAATGAACAGGAGTATCCTTGCTAATCCAGTGTTCTAACTCTTAGGCAGGGACAAAATTATCCTTATAGGAGCAAGGTCTGAACAACACCTTGTTGTACCTTTGAAACATTATTGAAATGAATCTATTTCATTGACACTTGGTAATTCCCCCTACATCATTCTACCTCAAGAAGCTATAGGATTTCTAAAAAATTCATTAAGAATCTAAGGTGCCTCAGTATAATTCTCAGGAAATATAGCTTATAAGTCAATGCAAACTCAACTTGTAGTCATCCTCTGTCACCATGAGCCACTTTAGGGAAGAAAGTGAAATGCCAATGAGAACT